AAAGGGATAATGGAAAAGAAAATCAAAACTACAGGGATTATAGGGGTTGTATCGGGTGATATAGGGATTATAGGGTATATATATATATATATTGGGGTTATACAGGGAGAATGGAAAAGAAAATAAAGAAAATGGAAACTACTATCGTACATCAGGGCATATTCCCACAGTTACCATTTCATTTTCCAATTTAATTTCCATCTGATTCTCCATTAGTGGGGTAATAACCCTAGGTAATAATAAGAGTATCACTGCCGAGCAGCAATATCAAACCACTGCTTAATCTACTTGCTGATCTATAGGGTAATATAGGGCAATACTGGGTAGTATAGGGTAATATAGAGCACGTTCATGTCTGTTACCTCCTTTAGATTACGAGTGCTAGTGTTCATGGATACCAAAAGTAGCTAAACATGCTACACTAGCAACAGCAAGAGGAGCAGCACTAACCCACAAACAGCAAGACCACCACCAGTCGCGCTACAATAAACCCACCACCAGTCGCGCTACAATAAACCCCTTCTTTGGTAGCGCCTGGTCTCGGATGGCGTCGGCTCCATTTTGGTCGTACTTCTCCCGGAGCTTTGGGTCGCTTAGGACCTGGGGCTTTACAATTCAGCATCTAGGAGTAATTACACTACATGACTGATACTTGGGTCAGCGTGGGTCTGTGCGGAAACCGCACCTAAATGCAAAGGTCCACATGTGCTCGAAATCCTCAAATTCTTCCTGCAAGGAGGCTCACCCCCCGCCTGGTACGCCTGGGCGAGCTTCTGGAACTTCACGCTGGCCTGACGGCATGTCACCAGGGCCAGGGGCATGAACGATAATGCCCACCCCTTATCTATATCCACCCCCCTCCTTATATGGAACATAATAGGGATCCTAATATTAAGACCCTGAAAAGGAGGGGGTTTATTAATCAGGGGGGTCTACATTAGCACGTGGAGCTTGAAAGTAACGATCGATGGTTTATGGTTGAGCGGTCATTGGACTTGCTTTAGTGTATCGAGTTTGGGGATCCATGTTGAGGGTGCGGTTAGTGTTGAGGACACTGGGTCTAGGCGCAGGAAGCCCTAGCTGCTCTGATTGAGGCTTCTTCTTTTCCAGCAGGAAGGGGTTGGCATACACCCTCACGCGTCAACATCACTCATCCCAGTCTAAACAATAAATCCAAGCCCCCAGTGTCTAGGGATCTTCAGGTTAGGCTACAAGGTCGTCTTGGGTTTAAACCCAAAGCCCTGGACCCCAAACCCAAAATCCCTAAACCCCAAGCCCTAAGGCCAAAATGCCTGAGCCCTAAGCCCGAAGCCCTAAATCCGGTTTAAGGTTAGGGTTGAGGGCTTTGGGCTTTATGGTTTGGGTGTAAGGTTTATGGGCTTGGGGCTTGGAGCTTAGGTGGGGTGTCAGGCTACCCAAGATCCCAAATGATTGGATCAACCCTCTTCCATGCCCGCACATTCAGAGTTCAGAGCGGCACGAAACCTCAAGAAGTCAATGTTTCGCGAAACTTGTCCCCACTTGATCTTTAGGCTGGAAATATCAAGGAACAAGTGGAAGTGCCCTGGGCACGTGTTCCTGATGATCACATGAGGTATCGATTTTTCGTCCCTTTTCAGGGAGCTGTGATATTCAGCTGAGGCGTGAACAAAACAATGACGCGCTGGTAGAACGCCCAGTAGATAGTGCTCTTCTGGTGAGGGACGAGGGCGTCTCAGATTTACTGCTTTTGGCTGTAAACCCTAAACTGCCCTAAACCTTGAGTCCTAAACCTCAAAGCCTAAACCCTAAATCCTAAACCCGAAACCCTAAACAATCCTAAGCCGCCCCCAAGCCGGCAACAGCAAACCTCAAGGAACCCTCAGCTCTAACCCCTGAACCCGTAGAAAATCTCTAAAATCCTTAGCCTTGCAGCCCTAAACCCAACTCCAAAGCCAAACCCTAAACCCAAGAATCCATAAACCCCAGGAATCCCTAAGACCTAAACCGACAAACCCCAAAGCCCTAAACACTCATGGGCGCCTCAGGATCGTTCTGGTTCTTGTCGGGGTGCAGCTTTAGGGCCACCTGGCATCCAGGGTGCCTCGTAAGGTCTAGAGTCTAGGGGTCATGATTCAGGAGGGTTTAGGGGATAGGGGTTTAGGACTTAGGGTCTAGAGTTCAAGGTTGAGGGGATGGGGGTGTGGGGGCTAGATCCTCTAAGTACGATCCCTCCCCCCAGATGTAAGCATCTCCACCAACTGAATTTTGTACATGGTCCGAACATGAAAATTGTGCATGCGCTGGATGCTTCTGTCCCCAAATACGCATAGGATTCGCGCGCGCGCGCACACACACACTCTTCCCTAAACTCTATAAACCCTAAACACAATAAATGTACGTCAAGATATATCTCCCATGGAGCGCTATGCTAACTTTGAAATGGCAAGCCCTACACACTCCCTCCACCCAAACTCTGTGCACCTTGTAGTAATTCTTCTTGATCTCCGCAGCCGTAGCATTGGGCTTGACCTGGGAGTGGACTTCAACAGCCACCCTGGGCCCCAAACCCCCAAGCTCTAGCTTTCACATGCTTTTGCGTACATTATCCCTAAAGCCTGCAGGCGACACGACCTTGCAATTACTCGGGGTTCCAAATTCTCATGCAGCTATTTCCTATAGTCTAAAATCCTAGTATCCCTCTTATTAACTTCGATATTACACCCCTACAAACTCCCCATATAATCCCCCTTGAAGGACTTTAGACTATAGCTCACGTGTGAAGCTCCACCATCTGAAAGCCTGAAAACGCAGAATAACGCCGAAGCCTATCCCTCCAGGCGCCTTCTAGTCCTCCACTCCATATCCTGCGCCCTAGTGCAGAACCCCAAACAAGTACCCAAGGCTATACCACAACATACCATAACTCTACAAGGAAGCTAGGACAATACGAAGAATTGGTCACTGAAGCCCTCCATTACATAGTCGTTTCCGAATATAGTGGATCCCAACATAGACCCCAAAGTACTCTAATCCTTGATGTAGGGACCCCCAGAGTGGTACCCCTAATTTTGGGAAACCCTGGCATCAAAAAACCCTCGCTTTGCAGTTCCAGCCGCCTCAAGAATGTCGTAGAAGCTGGTATCTGCAACCTTCCAGGGTTTAGGGTTTTAGGGGTTTAGGGCTTTAGGTGTTTAGGGGTTTAGGTGTTTAGGATTTTAGGGGTTTAGGGCTTTACGTGTTTAGGGTTTAGGGCTTTAGGGCTTTAGGTGTTTAGGATTTAGGGGTTGGGATTTACTGTTTAGGGGTTTGGGGTTTAAGGCTTCAGGGTTTGGAATTCCTTCCACAAGGGAGCTTAAGTTTTGGGCAAGGCCCCGGAAAAGAATGAGGAAACGCATGAGCCATAATTTAAACGCCGTAAAATGGATTATACAGGGGGTTATGTAGGGGACTACTATAGGGCTTATTAAAGGATACTAGAGCAATATACGGCATTTCAGGCAGACTGCTGGGCTTCCTGACTGTTGGAAACTACGCCCTACACCTCGTGCGAGCTTAAGAACTGTCTTCATGGCCAACGACATCAAACTTCCTAACCTGAGCCGTAGTCACCCAGCAAAACCTGGAACCAAAACAGGGATCGGAAGTCATGCTTAACAAATTGCCGGCCAGATTTGGAAATCCTGAGCCCCCAACCCTACATTTCGCTTGCCGGCCAGGATCGCCAGACGCCCGACCGTACATTTGTAGGGTCCCCGACTATACCCCCATTTAAGGGGAGTGGAGATACCCAATTCGCACCTTCCGTTGCGGCCGGCCATCATCAGGAACCTCCTCATCCGAAGACTCATCGCCGATGGCGGCAGCTTCCGCCGTCTCCTTCAGGAGCCAACTTAATCATGTTTGAGTTGCAGTTGGAACACCACCTACAACCATACTCAGGTGGCATATGATCGCATTTGCAACTGGGTTCTAGTTGCCTTCAACAGTGTAGGCTTCGGGAGCTGCGCTTTTGGGATTTGGGCTAAGGAGCTTCTGCTAGGCAAGCTAGGCCTTGTGGGGGTGAGGCATCTAGTTGCACCAGAATCATGGTTTTCCATACTACCACCCTCTATACTCTAAAATGGGGGTTATATAAGGGATTGTAGGGGCTTAGGGCTTAAGATATACTACCCCCCTAGGTTCCCCCTCAATTAACCTTAATGGGGCCTACTCATCCCTAAACAACCTTGATTAAGGGGGGAACCTAGGGGGTAGTATAGAGGGGGCAGTAGGGGAACCCATGGCCCATGACAGAATGGTGGGCTCAGACGTTTTCAGGTATTGGGATTGAAAAAGGTCTTGCGTTTGGGGCATTGGGTGGATTTGGGTGCTGGCCCTCAGCCCCGATCCCTGAACTCCAGACTCCTCCACCTCGCCCCGAAAATTCTTGACCCAGACCCCCACTTGAAAAAATTGCAGCAAATCAAAGCAGAGATACTGCTCGCAAGTATGACAACATGGCGAGGCATACTGTCCTGTCAATGGTACTAGCAAGTTACCATGATGCAAAGTCTCAACCAAGATTACCAAAAATGCTGCCACGGACCTCAAAGTTGGAGAGACCCGGATGATATAGACCCTTGCCCTGGGCTCTGAGCTCTGCAACCTAAAGCAACAAATCCCTTGGCCCTAACCTTTCCCTAAATCCCTAAACCCTCAACCCTTAACCTTAAACCCCCAAACCCTAAATCCTAAACCCTAAACCCAAAACCCTAAAAGCCCCCAAATCGCGTGGTCCTTGCGTAGGTTGCAGCAGTCATCGACCCAGATTCCCTGCTCGGCGTCCCAGCGCTTGTTCCTTGGTTTGAGTTTGAGGGTTTAGGGCTTAGGGCCTTATAGGGAGTATGAAGGGGATACTAGGAGTTTAGCCTATGGTTTAAAACGGTTTCAGGTTCTCGCTTCAGAATTTCCTGTCTCGGGCTGGTGGTAGGTCCGGATTTTGAGATTCTGTACCTATCTAAAACATGGTGCTACCGTCACTGGCCCGGAAAAGAAAGGATCATTCCATTGGGTCTCCCTTCTTTGAAGGGCAGAAGGACTTAGCCAACAGATGGGCTGTTCAGTTCTCAAAATTATGGGCCACTTTTTGGATATAGTTGAAATTACAGCACCAAATAGTAATATTTAGGGGTACCAAAATGGGACCCTAATTTTGTGAAATACCCAGATCCCTAACCCTAAATCCTAAACCCTAAACCCTAAACCCTAAACCAGATGACTTACCTTGGCTCGGTCTCGTTTTGTTTCATTGCACGGAGCATTTAAGTTTGCTGATCGTCAAAAACAATCTGGAGTGGTTTAGGGTTTAGGGTTTAGGTTTTAGGGTTGTTCCGGTTGGGGAGCCCCTGTGGTAAGGATCATCCTAAATGAGGGAAGGTAGGGGGTGCCCTTCAAGTTGATGGCATGGTAAAGCCCTGGGCCCGTCACCCTCTATACATGGGTGATTCCCCAAATGGCTGCCATTCCCTTGGATTCAAAATCTGTGCTCATCCTTCTGGGGATGAGAACCACAAATTTGAGAACCCACACCTGTAAGACCAGTTACTGCCAACCATTTACTTCTTGGAGCAGTTGCTGACAAGACTGTTTGTAATCGCGGGGGCCTATGAATGCCCAGTTAGGGAAGGTTAGGGAGCATCCTAAGCCTGTCGCAGCTGGCACGTCTCGTGAACCTCGCCAAAACTGGACCCAAACTCGTAACCGTAAACTCTAAGTCCCAAAGCCCTAGCCACGAGTTCCCAATCCTGAACCTTGAGCTCTACACCCTCAACCCGAGACCCTAGACCCCAATCTCCAAAATTAAGTACCCCAATTTGGGATCCAAGATTCGCCTGAAGACCCATCTGCAAGGCCTGAGGCAAACTCCTAGTATCCCCCATGTAGGGTAAACAGCTCCGTATTCAAGGTTTGTAAGGATCCCTGGGCCCTCCACATTCATGACCGGGATCAGTTCCTCAGAGGGTAGCAACGGACTTTGCCTTGTGACGTCTTCCGCCATGTGCGACAAGCAAAGGACTAAACAACACGAAATGTGTGCTAAAACCGCATAAAGGGTGCCGGCGTGCTTAAGATACCCGAAATCCAAATCCTCGTGTCTCATCCGTACAAGATACCAACCAGACAAAGACATGCCTCTAAATGCCTTCCTGATCCCTTCATCACCCCTGCTTTTCTCTACGCGACACTTATGGGATTCCTCTGTACCACCATGGGCTATTAGACCCTAAAATTCCCTATTAGGACCCTATTAAGGGTAGATTAGGGTACCCTAAAGGTCTAATAGCCCATAGTGGTAAGCCCCCCGTAGGCCTCCGGAGTGTTGTAGACACCCCGCGCGATCTGCGTTGCGCCAGCCACCGCCCCCCCAAGTGTCACGGCAATCGCGCCGCAAACGCCCGTAGCCAGGCCTGATACCGGAGATTTAGGGTTCAAGGTTTCCACACAACAGGGGCTAATTAGGTACCTTTCAAGGATGTCAGGTTTTTGGTGTAGAGCCTGTCGGGCCTCAGAAAATAGAGGAGCCGCAGGGGACGTGGCCACGACTTGCGGAAACAAGGGTTAAGGATTGTGAACTAGGTGGGGGAGGCCTCACACTTTGGGAGCAGGAGTTTGAAATCTAACACAGGAGCTGTGCCCCCTAACCTGAACTCGAAACCCTAAATCCTAAACTCTAAAACCTAAAACCTCAACCAAGGCTGCGGGTGCTTGACTAAACTTAGAATCTGGGGATTTGCAGTTTTGGGGCCAGGCCTTTGAAGAAGCCGCTGACGCCCTCCTCCTGCGGATGTTCACGAGGGCTTATATAGGATCTAAACTCCTTAAAGGGGGGTTATATAGGGTATTATATGGGTCGCGTATAGGGTCTAGGGAATATATAGGGTTTAGGGTCTAAACTCCTTAGATGAGGTTATATAGGGGGATTAGAATAGGTTTTGGGGTTTATGTTCTAAGCTCCTGACAAGGGGGTTCTACAAGGAATTATAACGTACTTCCGAACCGTGCCTTTCCCTAAGGGTCCAAGATGGTATTTGGGCCCTAAAACTACCCTGTTATTTGAGTCCTTGGAGCCTTAGGGTTTCTACATGCATGCAGAGCCCTCACACTGCGAATTGGCAGGCGGTGGATGCTTCAGTTTACGGCGCTAGGTTTGCATCTAAGGTTAGGGCATAGGGTTCAGGGTTTAGGGTTTAGGGCTCCCACCCTGTAACAATCTATATTAGGGGTAATGTAAGGGACTCTGTATAACTATATTCTAAATGTTATCCAGCTGTTCCAGAGCGGGGGCAATACCTAAGGCATAGGTTTTAGGGTTGCGGTATAGGGCTTAAAGGTGGAGGCTTCAAGGCTAGGTTTCTGGGTTAAGGCTAACCCCTGAACCCTGAATCCCAAACCCTGAACGCTACTGTAAACCCCAAAGCCCCAGCCCTAAAACCCTAAATCCTGAACCACAAAGCCTAAGCCCCAAAACCCCTAAACCCCCCAAAAAAACAAAAGACCACATGGACCTGGTTGGCTTGGCACCCTCTAAATCCAAACGCCCTGTGGCCGGAGCGCTCCTTCGCACCCAGGACGGGCGCGGCGATGAGCGCCCCAGTGCCAGCCACAACTGCCGCCCCAGCAACCTCCACTACGGGTAGGAATGAACAAGAACATGGAAAACTAGATACCCGAAACCTAAGCGCTAAATCCTAAACCCTAAATTTGGAGAACTAGAACATTAAGTATCCAGTATCTAGGGTTGGGGGCATATGAGGCACCCAGTAAGCGTAAGGTAGGCTTGGGAGGTTCTTTCCTTTCGGACAAAAGGTGGAGGACTTGTGATCTAGGGCGGGGGCTGGTGGAACGGCTATGAACCGTAGCATCCCTTTCATTAGTAGACGTCCGTTTCCAAAGTCCTTGTAACCGCGGTCCTAAGTCGCAAACTTCTCCAGAATCTCCACGAAACCCTAAAAACCCGAACCTTAGCATGGGTCTCCTGCAAATCCAATACACGTCCAGATTTATACACCACCTTTCTATATCCCTACATACACTCTGTATTATCCCTGCCCTAAACCCTAAACCCCCCATCCTAAGCCCTAAATCCCGACGAATCCAAGACACTTTCAGTCCGCTGCCCACGCCATCGAACACATCCCGGGGTCTCGTGGAGCTCAGGAACCTCGGAAACGAAAGCTTCGGGGGCCTTTATAGGGCTTTGGATCTAGAAATTCTATGCGACCAGATAGTGCATGTGTATGTGTGTGTATATATATATACAGATATAAGGGTTTGCAGGGTAAAGGGTTGGGGGATTTCTCCTCCCCAAACTAACATGGAACCCTGCACAACCCCACTTGTAAAACCATAATCTGCACAGGACCTGTTTGTGGTTCCGCGTGACTTCGGGGAGGGGAACCCCTTCAACCCTACACCCATTTAAATCCCTCTGTACCCCTATCCCCATAAGAGCCTATACACCCTTCAGGGGGCCCCAAACTCCCCCTAAACCCCAAACCCTA